TTTCTTGTCCGGTCACCTGAGAATCATTCTTCCTTACGTGGAAATTCGTCTTTGTAATAAAGCTAAGTCCACGAATACACATTATTTGCAATTTTATTTCTCTCTGTTTTCTACCCTAATTTATATATTTTTCTTATTCTATCTTACTTCGTTTCAGCTCTGTCATCCTCCTTAAGTCAATAAAAATTTTAAATATCAAAGACTATTATCTTTTATTCTTCAGTCACCTGAAGGAGAGAATTGAGGCTTGGAGGAGAGTGAGGCCAACTTTTAATTGTAGTTGCTCCCAGGTCTATGCAAATTGTTAACCTCCAAAGAAAACACTATGAAAATGAAAGTATAAAATAGATTTTTATAGTAAAAAATAAGAGCCAGCGTATGAATGTTAGTACTATTACTGAAGGCCTGAACGATTTTTTTTCTCTCACCATTGAGCACTTTTTTAAAAAAAAAGCTAATAACTCTGATTTATAAATATCACCGTTCTTTCCTATTATATATATATATATATATATATATATATATATATATATATATAAGTATATGATTGGTGTATACGGAATAAATTGCAATAATCAACAATTACTATTCTGTTGAGCACTGTCTATGCTATTCTTTATATATATATATATATATATATATTTGTATATTTAGGCAGCAATCCTTCCTTTATGTATGTTTCATTAAAAACGACAGACAAGGTACTACAGTTGAGCTTTTTATTTATTTTTTTTCTTGTGTTCTGACAAGAGCTTTCTTTTCTGGACAAAACATCACTACCACACACTGAACATACACAGAACACACACACACTCTACAAAGCTGATAATCGAATCATCCTTGATAATGACTAAAGGTATAGCCGAAATCGCTCGGAAATAGAGAACATTTGGACAGTTCTTACACACCATTTGTCCAGAAAAGAAAGTTCTTGTCAGAACACAAGAAAAATTAAATAAAAAGCTCAACCGTAGTACCTTGTCTGTCGTTTTTAATGAAACATGCATATATATATATATATATATATATATATATATATATATATATATATATATATATATATATATATATATATATATATATATGAGGCTTCTCTCAAGCGTTTTTTAGGACCGACCTTTTAAAGACTTGAAATCAAGAAATGTATCAAAATGCTTTCAAAAGCCGTATAATACACACATGAGATATGTGGAATATTTCTGCGATGTACAGTGTCACCTGTTTTATTTTTCATCAGCCTTTTCTTCTGGTTTTCATCAGCAATACCAGGGTTCCCGGAACGTCCTCAGTGATCCATAAGTAAAAAAAAAAAAAAAATTCCTCTTCTGAAATTACGGAACAATTCACGAAGAATACGCTTAGCTATGGCACCAAATTTCCAATTCCCAATAGAATTACGGCTGGTGTAATTGATAAAATCACGGAATCATCTTAAAAAATTTAAATGCAATATGAATTATCATCGTATTAATTCCTGTTGTTTTATTGTTCTCTCTCTTTAAAAGTGTTTTTCTCTCATATTCTCTCACTCAGTAACGCATTGCGTCTTAGTGGCTTTATTTCCTTGTTGGGTGTGAATTTTTTAATTTTTTTAATTTTGTAAATACATTGTAATTTACAATTATTTAAATATTGTTGTCAGTTTTTTAAGACTGTAGGAGTAAATTTTTTTTTTTATTAATTATTGGCAATACTTTTAAGATATTCGAAAACGATCGTTATTTAAAAATAAGATAATTAAGAAACTGGTTAGCATAACGATGACAACATTGACAATAGCTCGGAACGATTGACAAGGTTACCTGAAATAGTCGGAGTTATTTCCAGCCAGAAATGAGCAGTAACTCCCTACAACGCCAGTAAAAGACCCCGTATTGGCCTCACAATGAATTAATCCCAACAGCATCCGTTGTTTCTTTTCTTTCACGGAAAAATAAAACGTTTAAAAAGCCAGAAGCAAAACGGGAATTTCTTTTGAGCTTCAAATTCCTGTTTCTCTGTTGTCTCTGTCCTTCATGAATGAAATCAAGATCCGACTATCTGTCCGCTGTCAGTCCTCCCATTCCTTGCAGGAACCCCCGGGGGTGCTGAACAGCTGTTTCAGATGTCTATTGTTTGCACGACACTGCCGGCTTTGAGTTTATTTTCTTCAATGATTAGGAACATGATTTTCGCTGGTCGTTAATATATTTTTTTGTCTCGACAACTTTGTCGAAATTGCACTTTATATAAATTTCTGCGAATTCGGAATGAAAGAAACAGCAAGAGAGAGAGAGAGAGAGACCCTCGTTTTCATTGCAAGACCTGAATGGAAGTCTGTCTTCGTTTAGAGTTTATTTTGTCTATGAATTAAACTCATCGGATCTTGAAATAATTGAAAGGCAATCGGGTTAAAAAAAAAAATAAAAATAAAAAAATAAAAATATCAGTCTGAAATAAAATTTTGTTTTCTTTACTGATTACATAAAGAAGGTTGTTTTAGACATTTTAGTGAATGAATGTGTCGATCTTGTCTTCCGTGGGGGTCCATAGTTAAATGAAAAAATCCAGAAGCAAACGATGAAAAAAACGTTTCCTGGTAACAACAGATATGTATCCTCCTTCTCATTCTTCTTGTTCTTGTAATTCTTGTTGTTGTTGTTGTTGTTGTTGTTCTTCTTCTTCTTCTTCTTCTTCTTCTTCTCAACTTCATCCTTATACTCCTCCTCCTCCTTCGTCACTTCATACTCTCCTTCTTATTATTCTTCTCCTCTTCCTCCTCGTTCTTCTTCTTCTTCTTCTTCACAACTTCATCCTCATACTCCTCCTCCTCCTTCGTCACTTCGTCTTCTCCTTCTTCTTATTCTTCTCTTCTTCTTCCTCTTCTTCTTAACTTCATCATTATACTCTTCCTCCTCCTTCGTCACTTCGTCTTCTCCTTCTTCTTCTTCTTCTTCTTCTTCTTCTTCTTCACAACTTCATCCTCATACTCCTCCTCCTCCTTCGTCACTTCGTCTTCTTCTTCTTCTTCTTCTTCTTCTTCTTCTCAACTTCATCCTTATACTCCTCCTCCTCCTTCGTTACTTCGTCCTCTCCATCTTATTATTCTTCTTTTTCTTCTCGTCCTCCCCCTTGTCTTTCGTATCATCATCATCATCATCGTCGTCATCTCCTCCTCCTCCTTCGCATCCATCTAATTTTCCTACTTATACTACCCCTTCTTCTTACCATTCTCCCCTTCCTCCTCGACCTTCTTCTTCTCCTCTTCTTTCTCCTACTCTTGCTCCCTCTTCTCCTCTTCGTCCTTCTTCTCCTTTTTACCGGCCTTTTCATCTTCCTCGTCCTTCTTCTATTTCTTCTTCTCCTACTCCTCATCTTATATTCCTCCTCCGTATTCTCCACACCCTCGTCTTTCTTCTACTCATCCTTCTTCTTTTGCTCGTCCTTCTTGTTCTTCTCCTTCTCCTCCTCGTCCTCCTTTCCTTCTACTCATCTACCTCTTGCTCCTCCTCCTTATTCCTCTACTCATAATCTATCGACATCTCCTCTTCCTCCTTCTTCGCATCCTCCTCAATTTGTTCATTATACTCATTCCTCTTCTAATCCTTTTCCTCTTGCTTTTCCTCCACATTGTCCTTCTTCTCCTCTTCGTCAACCTTCTTCTTCTTTTTCGTATCTTCCTCGTCCTTCTCCCCTCCCCCAGTATGTTTAAAATTTCTCATTCAATCTCTTAGAATTATGCCTAGAGTTGATCTTTCCATTAGTGTTTGTGCATTTCGAAGAAATAAAATTGGGGGTTGAAGCGTTTTCAGCCTGACTCGCTTTTCAAAGATGAGGATATGGCCCCCCAAAATAAATGCTTGAGAATCCATTTTCTCATAGGAAGATAACTTTTTCAGCAAAATAATATATATATATATATATATATATATATATATATATATATATATATTGAGGAACTTTCCTCCATGGTACGTAGATTTTATAAATTTAAGTGTGTTACCAGATTGGTAGATGAAATGGCTAGATATAGTGTCTTCTCTCGCTTGTAAAACTTTTTTTTCTTTTTTTCTTGTATTCATGCACACTAAGTACCCCTTCTTTCTTAGAGGCTTTATTGCGTTGCTTGAGGGGAAATAATTATATATATATATATATATATATATATATATATATATATATATATATATATAATTATTTATTCGAAAATTATAACATAAATATGTTATAAAATCACTACAAAAATAGCTATTTTGTTTCAACACTTCCGGTGTCATTTCTAGTGATGGTGTTGAATGTAGGCTAAAGGGTATATCTGGTTTGAAAGTGTGCTATATTTATGGGATAAAATGCTCCATATCAGAGATAGAGCGTATGTCAGATACGGCCTGACGATTGCTTTTAGCATGAAACAGCCTGTCGCATGTGAATGTTGAATTCAATGTTCACTTTTTTTATATATATATATATATATATATATATATATATATATATATATATATATATATAAAAGTGTGTATATATATTGTATATAATGGATGTACGTGTAAACGCGTCTTTGTGTGGAGATGTATATTGGTATATCCATAATTTAGACGTCACTTATGAAATGTAGTCATTTTACACAAAATATATATATATATATATTTAGATAAAATCTCCATTTTCGTCAATGCACCTAATACAAGGATGATTATTAATCATATAGATATAATAGTACAAAGTGGAATTTTCCTATAAAAATTCAGTTAATAAATTCCTCACACACACACACACACGCATAGGTAAACACATGCGTGTGTATGTGTGTGTGTGTGCAGGCTTTTGGGATGAAGTGACAACGAACAATTACTCGTTACATAACAATAGCTTCAATTACATATGTGTGTTGCATTCTTCTCTGGTGTCTGTCAATTTTTCTGTCCCCGAGGATGTGTCATTTGATGCAGTCAGCGTGAACAAGACTTCGTCATTGATTGACGTCATTTTCATAATCTGTCCGTTTGTTGGACTGACTTCAGGGCCAGCGACACTATCTACGCATTAGGCCAGACTATCTATCTATCTATCTATCTATCTATCTATCTATCTATCTATCTAATACCCTCCCTATCTATCTATCTATCTATCTATCTATCTATCTATCTATCTATTCAATACTCTCCTTATCTATCTATCTATCTATCTATCTATCTATCTATCTATCTATCTAATACCCTCCTTATCTATCTATCTATCTATCTATCTATCTGTCTGTCTGTCTGTCTGTCTATCTGCTGTCTATTCAATACTCTCCTTATCTATCTATCTATCTATCTATTCAATACTCTCCTTATCTATCTATCTATCTATCTATCTATATATCTATCTATCTATTCAATACTCTCTTTATCTATCTATCTATCCATCTATCTAATACCCTCCTTATCTATCTATCTATCTATCTATCTATCTATCTATCTATCTATCTATCTATCTATTCAATACTCTCCTTATGTATCTATCTATCTATCTATCTATCTATCTATCTATTTTCTATCTATCTATCTATCTATCTATCTATATATATATATATATATATATATATATATATATATATATATATATATATATATATTCTCCATAAGCATCTATCTATCTAATTATCTATCTATCTATCCTAATATATCCCATATTTATCTACTTTCTTATTCGTATGTCACTGCTGTTCGTAACCGTCTAAAACTTTTTGCTCTTAAGGCGACTTCGATGTTTACCACGACTTTTCATCATTAAAATATTATCTGATGAAATATTACTCCATTCGAGACAATGGAACCTCTACAAATCAAAGACAAATCAAAGTAGAGCCATTATTCTTCAAATTGCCGTCAATTACAAAGTGTAATTTAAAATAAAAATGTACCAACATTTTTTTTCAACGTACTTGGCTGTAGTTTCAATTCATTCCTGATTTTATCTGCATTTGAATTGGCTTCAAACCAATCATTCTAACTTCTGTTGCTTTAAAGATTATGCTACGCCTGAATCTTAATGGAAGTTTTTTTTTCCTCTCAGGTTTGATCACCATACTGCTGCATCAAATAACAACCTTCTCATTCAAAAATTACTGATCGGAAGTAGTTTTGTGACCTCTTTTTATTATGCAATATCTTGAACTATTCTAGGTCCAGTCTTGAAATTTTTAAAATCATTTCACCCAAAGCAAGGCAATAAAGCCACAAAGACGCAAAAGTTTACGGTGTATAAAAGAATAGGAGAAAAATGCTGCTGAGTGGAGAGGGAAATAAATTAAGAATATATCGATTGAATTTAAACTTTTGAAGATCAAAATTTACTGGAAGTCTAGAAACCGGAAGAGTGTTTAATCTAGTACTGCGTTTACATTCATGTATAGATACATTATTTACATTATTCGGACTATTGTCCTCATCTTTGTCGCCATATTTATTTTAACGTTTCGACCATTGTACGCTCCGGCCTTCTTCAGGTGGTTGGAATGTCGAACTGAGACCTTTATTTCTCTCACTGGGGTAGACAGTTCTAGTTGCAATATGATCACTGGTAAAAAAAAAAATTGCTGAAGACATTAGGTTTATAATACCCAGAAATTTATACACAGTGGGTAAAGGCGTTAGTTAGATCCAGTGGCAGGACCCAAAGAGTGTGAGTTCAATACCCGGCTAAGGCAGTGCAGAACTTTCAGAGGGGAATTAACAGGAGATAACGGATAACTGACATCCATTAAACATGACCCGTGGGAGTAGAACAGTCTACCCCATTTTAATTACCAAATATAATATAGAAGTCAACACTTAGAGACGACCGGGTCTTTCATGCTAGACGCTATCGTGGCCTGACGATTGCATATAGCATTAAACAGAATGTCGCCTATAAATGTTGACTTCTATGTTCACTTTTATATTTACACACGCTCTATGTTCTGATATTGAGCACTTTATCCCATAAATATAGCACATCTTAAGATTATATTTCTTCATATATATATATATATATATATATATATATATATATATATATAAGCAGTTTCTAGGCACTTCACAGATTTATTTCAAATCCAATATTTTTATGACTTCGTGGACAGTTTCCCTCGCGAGGTAAATGGAGCCTTGCTTACTGCGAAGTTCTCCGTAGCCTGAGTGGTAGGACGTGCTGGATCGGGTGTTGGTTTCTTCTCAAAGTTGGGACTATGGTTCTATCCATTTCCCGAGAACAATCTTCAGGTGCTGAGTATGAACTGACCGTTACCCATTTTTTAATTTTAATATATCGGGTTCTCATAGTGTTGGCATAGTTATTAAATTTAAAGAACTATTATGCCAGCATAATAGTTCTTTAAATTTAAAATTTTAAAATTATATTTGGTAATTAAAATATGGAGATATGTTTGTTTAATATAATGCTCTTATGACGAGAGATGGATGTGTCTATGTTATTCACACAGCTATAGTTGATCTTAACATTGTTTTTATTTTTTTTTAAATAGTGTTAGCGAATATTTAATGTGTTTATGGATTTGAATCCAATAGAGAATTTATGGCGGTTTTTGAAAAATAAGATCCCTGATAGAGGTCCAACAAACATCAAAAACCTGAAGACAATTACTCAGGATGAATGAGGCAAAATACCTACTAAAGTATGCGAATCGTTAATTAAAGGCTACAGGAAGAGATTGGTTGCTGTTGAACTTAATAAAGGCTTTGCTACAAAATATTAAATGGAGTAAACATGTTATTTTTCTGCTGTACGATCATTTTTAAAACCCTAAAAATTTAAATATTGTTATATTTTCTTAACCATGGAATATTATTTAGTTGTATATGCATACATTTTTAGTATGCCATCTGATACAGTAGATCTATTCCTGTTTTGTTAATTTAATATGTTTCAAATAAAAATATGAAATATTTTCATGTGTACGATCGCTTATTCAACCCCACTGTAATTTAAATAACAGATTTAAACCACAACTGAACTGCCATTTGTCTACATTTAGTGAAAATTTTAGAAAAATTGGACTAATATTTTTTTGAGATACCGAATTTGTAATTTTTGTTACTTAATTTTGGACGCTACTGTGTAACAATAGACATTATTTTTTAAATATTTGAAGACCAAAATTGACTGGAACGGAAATAACCGGAAGCGTGTTCCACAAGCCAGAAATATGAGCGAAGAAACTGTTACCAAATAAATAACAATAACAATCCAACCTGATATATAACTTCGTTTAATACAGACTTCTGCGCATTAATACTTTTAGGGGAAAAAAAAACTCACTTTCTCAAAATATCAATTTGCCACACTTCCGTTTCTTTCTCACAGACGTGGCTTGCCTTCCCTCTGTCTTTTCTCTAAATATTTTCATGGCAACTACTCTGACTAGCTATCTTCTCTGGTGCCCCGAATATATGAATTCAACGGTGCTACTATATTGGCATTTAGGTTCCACCGTCTTACTGCTAAAATAATTAAACGCTACCGACTCTTCTACCCCAACAGTTTCTTTCCTCGCACTTCCCACCTGTAGAACTCCCTTCCGTTTACTTGCTTCCTTGATAATTTGAGAAATTTAAATGCAACGTCAATCGCCATCTTATATATATATTTTTTAATACCGTTCATCTTTTGTTCTTGTCCTCTATCAACCCTATGCTCAGTTTCTTTCACTTTCATTCCTTGTAGACCCCTGCGTACTAGACACACTCTCGCTTTGCTTGGAGTGACATGAAAAAAAAATCTGCTTGCTTGTGGAAATCTTTTCCGGTTTTTTGAAACTTGAATAAAGCATGGAATAATAATAATACAACACAAAAGGTACTTAAGCAAAATGTATTAACACAAGAACGTGTACACAATATTTACAGATAGTTTGGTATATTCTTGGGAAGACCGTTCCTGTAGAATGGGTTGACTAAATCGCAGTCGGGCAGAGTCTCTGGATTGCATCTCTGCTTCCTCACCCTCGTCTCCCCGGTACCAACCATATTTATATGGTCGGTACTCCACTATGTAAATTAGATGGATCGTACCACAACACGGTTCTATGCTTCTAATAAACTTAGAATTTAAAATATTTTAATATCAATCGTTATCGCCTGTTTTCTTGATTAATTCTCTTCTATTGTTTTCGCTCCTTAATAATGGTCCTCTTTTATCTAATTCTTTGACACTTAGTAACCTCTCGTATCTTAGTTGTTTGGGGTTAAATGATTAAAATAAAAGCTCTATTGGGAAAGCACAGCTTCCAGGGGTAACACTACACCTTGGGGATAAGCATGAGTGTTTTGACATTTATAAAAACACGTGTATATTTCAGCGTTTTTTTAACTCTTGGAGAAAACTGATTTAAAAGCCAAAATTTAAAAAAAGACAAACAAAAGAAAACTTTTTTTTATTCCAATTCCAGATAAGCAGATTTGAAAGAACGCAGTTTCCGCCTTAAGAAAAGTAACTTAGCATTTCGATCTCAGGGCTGGAAGTAAATTGAAAAAAAAAATAGAAAACAGAAAAAGCAACACAAACTATAAAAAACGTAAATAATATTGTTATTTTTCATTGTAGATTTTGAAAATCTAACAAGTGATTTTTTAAATCATTTCACACCCAAGCAAGGCGATAAAGCCACTAAGATATAAGTTGTTACTGAGAGTAAATAGAACGAGTAGAATTTAGAATAAGGAACAGGAAACGCAATCCTTAAACAGGAAACAGGATAAAAAACTCTACTGCCATTCAAAAGAAGAGTTTGAAACGTCCGCTAGGGGACCCTAATTTCTCTTATTATATTTTAAACTTTTAACTTTATACCATAGACCAGAGGTCGGTAACCTTTTGCTTTGTGCTGACTTAGGGTTTTAAAATCATTCAGTGAGCCATGTATTTTTATACAAGCTAAGGTCAATATACCTGTTCTACAATATATTTTATATAATAATAATATAGTAGATATACTTTAGTATATATTCAAGTTGAAACAGCTAAATAACTTAATTAAAAGAAAAAAAAAACTTGTAATTCTAACGAATGATTTATTTTTTTAATGGAAATATTTCGGCTAGCAGTTTGCTAGTTTTGGTTACTCCTTAATTTGAGTAAAACCATACAAAGTTCGAGACGCTGAAGAATTTAAATCAAGGAAAACAAACCGAGTTGATGACGTTTACAAAGTAATAGCAAGCCGAGACATAAAAAAATGTTTTTTTTTAATCCAATATCATATTTTTTATTAAAGCAAAGATGTCCAGACAGGATTGAGTTGTGCTGCATCTATCCTATTGCAGGCATTTTTTTGTAGTTGCTATTACCATTTCTCAGCTACTCTTTCATTGAAATGCTTTACATTTTACTCAAATTAAAGAGTGACCAAGTTTTTTTTCTTTTAATTATGCAACTACCAAAGGCGACAAGCATCCTAACAGTGAGAAATGTAAATGCAATGTCAATCGGTATCTCATATATATTTTTGGAATCCCGTTCATATTTTGTTCTTTTCTCTATCCACCCTATACTTCTTATTTTCTTTCACTTTAACTTGCTGTAAACCTCTGCTTACTAGAAGCATTCTCGCCTTGCTTGGGGTGACATTTGCGTTGGAGTAATTATCGGTTCGGATTTATGATGTCATTTGCGGCTGCGTGCCAGTGGGAATTAATTAGCGTACCATGTATATATATATATATATATATATATATATATATATATATATACGACATACGAAAAGAATCTATTACGAAATATATTTTTCGAATAAC